ATTTTTAATATAACTCCGACTGGATTCGTCTGAAAGAAGAAAGTCATATACACCTAGGATGCCTCGGGGGTGAGTAAAACGCAGCCTAATTTTCATTTTTGGGTGAACTAACCCTTTAACAACTACCTTACTAACTATTAATAAACAGCAATTAGGAGTTTATTGAGGCAAAAGTCATAGTTAATGGTTTGTTAATAGTGAGTATTGGACCTTAAAATAAAGTGTGACCAAAAAAAAAATAATGTTTTTTTTTTTTTTTTTTAAGTTTTTTCAAAAAGGCGAAAGTTGGGTTTGTGGAGGTTTCTAGCTCATAACAACTTACAATAGAACATTTATAAATAATAGAAATCAAGATTTATAAATTATTGTTCATTGATACTTCATGATACCTAATGCATGAACTAATATAGAATCTTATAGGAAAGTGTTTTTTTTATGTTTTGGGTGGTATCCTCCATTGCACAGATATCTTATAACTTATATCCAGTTGAACACCTCAAATAGCAAAGAGTTTAAATACCTGAAAAGAACTCAACTTTAAAAAGCTTAAAAATTAATTCAGAGCATCCAGAAACACAGATTCAAGTCCAAAACTACACTACTACACTACTTCTGATGTAACACAGCGAAGCACCTGCCCTCATTTCTACAGATGTTGCAGTATTTCATCAGTGGCTGGACAGACCTGTTACTCATTAACAGATCATTTCAATACTTTTTTCAAATTTCTGAAGGCAGCCACGGCCATAAAGCAGAACAGAACATACAGGAGCTTAGTCCATAATTCATAAAGGTTCAGACACTTAAAGGCCATGATTCTGCTCTGTACTTGTCTGTATAAATATACAGTGTTTGCACAGTATTCATAGTTTAACTGTACCATTTGTAAGACCATTAGTTTTTTAATTAGTTAACACCATTAGGTTTGGCTGCACTTGACAGCTCGTAACAGCCGCAGTTACTAAATTAAATAAAATTTTGAATAAATGTAGTCTAATACAGTACATTCATATTAGATTTAATATGAAACAATAACATTTCTGTCATAAAACCAGTTGCTACATAAAAAAAAAAAATCTTAAACATACTTATATTTAGATTTAGATTATAATTTAGGGGGAGGCAACATTATCGTTCTAGAAAGCATCTGATTGGACAAAATATTTAAGTGCAATGTGAGTAAGGTTGCACTGCTATAAAAATGTTACTAAATCCATGACGATAATTATTTTCATGGTATGGCTGATAACAGATAAATGGCAGATGTGACCAATCTATAGTACTTTGTTAAAAAAAAAGAAAAAAGAAAGGAAAATTAAAACACACTATTGCTACATGTAACACACACGCCGTTTTAAGAGCGGTTTAGGAGATAGAGCTTGTAAAATATTTGCCTTAATCAATCACTATTTCATTAAATTAGTGCTAGATGACTATTTAACTCTTAAAAGCGGTGGAAAAAAATAAATATCCAAAATTGCCAGATAAATACCCAAAAATGACCTATATAACAATAAATTGAAAATGTGCCAATATCGGTTGATAACTAATATGGTGAGAACATATTGTGCATCCCTAATTGTGAGTCTTTTTAAATTCTCAGAAGAGAGAAACTGTAAATTTGAAATGAATGTATTCAAATGTATGCATTCAAATGTACACATTTGAATACATACATTTTATAATCCTTTTATTCACTGTAGACTTATAGGCTTATGAAACTTTGTTTACTTAAAATTGTTCATCTTGTCTTGCTTAAAAAGGAAGCAATTAGTATTAGCTCTTAACTGAACATTATAAATATCTGCATCAAATCAGCCATCTGCCACCCTGCTTTCTAGATACTGGCATCAGTCACTAAAAACCCATAATGTTCGACCTCTACTAATCCACAATTCTGTGTCTATGTATGCAGAGTGGGTATTTTACAAATGCAGGAAGTCAGGCAGCTAAGACACATTTGTCTCTCCATTCATGTGTCTATCCGACAGAGGATTTTCGTAAAAATGTCACCAGCTTTCAGTGGCTCTGCCAGCATTAGCGCGCTTCATGGTCAGAGAGGGTCTATTAATACCCTTCACAGTGAGGAGGTGCTATCTGAGCGCACATCTTCACCACCTCCATGACTCAGTGGTAATGATCCCTGTAGTCTCCAAGGGACAAGTGCTCCCTGAAACAAGCCACTTTAGTCTGGCTGGGTCTGAACTTGGCTCTGTTTTGATGAGATCTGAGACAATGAGTTCTGGTGGAGTCTGCCATTATTTCACATGACAGAGTGGGAGTACAAAGACTCAGATAATGGAAGAAAATGATTCCACTTATATTACAATGCCACCAGATGAAACTCTTATCAAACACTTTTGATTTTCTCAGAGTTCAATTTATATTCCCGACTTGCGTCAAAGAAACCAAACTGTCTGACCTCTAAATCTGAGAAGAAATTTCCACCGAGAAAAGGCCTAGTGATCAGTGCACATGCTCCAGACAGCTCCGTGGTGCTCATATGAGGGATGCAGGTTCGATTTCAACAGTGTTCAGTGTCTTCTATGTATTTACTGTCCTTACTCAATCAAAAACAAAACAAAAAATAAAACACCAAAACAAAAACAAAAAAAACACACAGAGCAAAAAAAAAGCAAAACAAAGCAAAAAAAAAAAAAGCAAAGCCAAAGCAAAAACACAACAAAACAAAAAACAAAAACGAGCCAAGCTAAGCCAAGCAAGGCAAAGCAAAAAGCTAAACTAAAAAACAAAACAAAAATGAGCAAGTAAAAAAATAAGCAAAACAAAGTGAAAAAACAAAAAGCAAAGCAGATAAAACAAAACACAGCAAAACAAAAAAACAAAACCAAGCCAAACAAAGCAAAGCAAAGCAAAAAACAAAAACACAACACAACAAAAAACAAAACCGAGACAAGTAAAGCAGAGCAAAGCAAACCAAAAGCAAAGAAAAAAATAAAGCAAAACAAAACCAAAACACAAAACAAAACAAAAAACAAAAAACAAAGCAAAGCAAAACAAAACAAAAAATGGTAACACTACAATATGGTATCATTAATTAACGTTACTTAATGCATTAACAATTAGAAATACATCTGTTACAGTATTTATTCATCTTTGTTAATAAAAATACTGTTATAACTGTTCATTGTTAGTTCATGTTGGCTCAGGTCCATTAAATCATATTAAAAGATACAGCCTTTTGCTTTTAGTTATGAATTGCTAAATATCGAAAGGAACATTAACTAAGATTAATAAATATTTTAGAAGTATTTTTATGACCTTCTATAATATGTAAATATAATAATATTCCTATATAATCAAATTCACCCTTAGCCGGGAGCTTGATTGACAGGCGATCTGACCAATCATAATTCTGAATCTGCAATTTGTCCGACAAACAACCCAGACAGGAGAGTAGATTAACATCGGTCGACTTGAACTTGAAAAATGGTGTGTGTTGACGTCTTTCTGCGATTGAACAAGAAACCTTCTGATGTTCATTAATGTTTATTTCGTGCTATAACTAGATGACCGGTTCATGTGCTGCTTGAACTGAGGCACTACAGTGATCTGTCACGACAAATAAAAGAGCCACAAAATGGTATTTATTGTTTGAATTTTTGACAAAATGTGAAAGCTGAGACGTTTTTTCATTCCAAAAGTAACCTGCTCTGTCTTGTCTGTCGGCGTGTTGTCAGTTTCCTCTTTGCTCCGCGATGTATTTTTCACTGCGTGAGAACGATGTGTGCCATGAGAGCGCCATGACTTATCAGACGTAGCAACAGTAACTAACTAATATTTAGTAAAAAATACTACTAACAGCTACTTTTGAATGACTATCATTGTAGTTTTTTACTCAAACTCTTGCACTTACCTCGGACACTGGCATCTCAGCCAATCCTGTGCCGTCTTTAAGGGCGACGCCCCTTTCCCTGAGAGGGACGATACTTTAGGTAACGTGACTGGCAGCTCCTCCACTGGAACTGGCACAGGCCCGCATGCGCTGCAGTGCACTATGGGAATGGGTGTGCCCCAGTAGCGCTGCCTCGAGATTAGCCAATCACGTAACTTGGCACTAGTGAGGTATCCACCAGCATTCCTCTCCCGGGCTTTCTGGGTAACAGAGTTAAAAGCTTCTGCCCGGCTTTGACCTGTGAACTACAGTGGATGAGATGATCAGGATGTGTAACCGGTTAGCTGGTTAACCTCTGCTCTCATGTTTAACCGTGATGGTGGGTTTACCTCATCTGAGTTTATTAGAGTCTGTGTTCCGTCTTGTTCTGTCTTCAGAACAGAAATCCAGCTCAAACCCAGAGACTGAGCCAACTCTGCTTCCTCCTCACTGCTATCTGGGATGCCTGTTATAAAGAATAAAAAAGAAAGAGTTTAAAAAAAAAAATGCATTGTATATATCTAATGTTAAATGAAAGAATTGTGACTCTTTGTGGTTGTAAAACAGTTAAATTCTGGAGAACTGACTCCATCTAAGGGTCACTTCATGTGTTTTTACTTATCAATTAGCAATCTAATTTGTTAAAACTTTTCATATACTATTGGCCACATAAATGTGTCTCTGCAAAATGAACAGAAATTCAATCTTAGCTATCCAATCAGAGAAAAAGCATTTGGTATTTTGTATCTAATGCAATTGCATTTGTGGATCAAAATGAACGTGTCAAGTTTGTGGAAACATAATCTTTTTTTCATGTTGGTTTCACAACTTTTTTGCTGAAAATATAGAATTTATACAATATACAAGTCTTTATGTAATGTCAAGCAGTGTAACCATTAAGAAAAACATATGCTTAAACACTGAATGCATGTAAGTGTTAATCATTATTTAAAAATATAAACAATTATTATATTGTTGGAGTAAATAAATTAGATTTTTTTTAAATTATGAATATCATTCTTAGGGTTTACCATTTGAAAACCTGAACTACTCTTGCAATGTCATAAGAAGATCAAATTAACAAATATTTGTATGCATATTTTATATAGGAAATATTATTTATATATTTCAAAATATTTTGTGGTTTTCACACATGTAAAACAAAAAACATGTGAACTAAACAATACTGTACTGATTTGGTGGACAAACTGTTTTCAAATATGAATAAGATTTTAAAACAAAACTGCTTCACTGTTTAATTAAAATAATAACAAAAGTTTATTCAAACAATACATTACACAGAATTTCAGGATTTTAATTCCATTACAATTTCAGGTTGGTTAAAGCTTCTTGATATTTTCTCTAAATCAGAATTTAAAAACATTTTCTTGAGTGGATTCATTGTATAAATTAAACATTTTAATGAGCATCATGTCACTGACTTTCATTCATTTTTTAAACATGCCATAAGTGTTTAAATACTTTTTGGAGCAACAGTACATGCAATGACAAACGCACAGAAGAGGCTAAAGTACAGTACAGCATGCTGGAAAATTGTTTAAGTATATGCGTAAAAAAACACTGGAAAATAACTAGAGCGGTGAACTCCAAACACATCCCTGATGCATACTGTAGATTCTCCTTAAGGAATTCACACACACACACACACACACACACACACACACACAAAATGTAATGACACTGCAGTCTCTGCTGGATAAAATCCAAATGCATTCTAGATGTACTGCATTAACAAACTAAAGATTTACAGACCGCAGTCCTCCCCTCACACACACACACACACACACACACACACACACAGAAGCATCTTCTCACCCATTACAGTGTCCAGATGTCCGTCGAACTCCTTCTTGCTGGAAATCACCACTGGAACCTCGCGGCCGGTGAACACGTTGAGGGCTGTGACCTCAGTCAGGCTGTCTGCACAAGCAGGGGTCAAAGGTCAATCAATCTGAGATCTCATTAACAGAAATCTGTCCTCTTCCAAAGCCTTTGGGATTCACAGTTATTTCACGGTTTGGTGCGAGACCACAAAATCAACTAGCAACCACAGCCTCGAGGGTTAAAACACACACACACACACACACACACACACACACACACACACACACACACACCC